TGTGCATCCCGTGTGGACTCTCACTACATTTCTCTCCCCTTCTCGTTAGCCTTAAACCATATTCTCTCCCCTCTCGTTCTCTTAGTTCTATACCACGCGCTCCTCTCCCCTTCATTATCTCATCTCCGCGCGCAGCCCTCTCCCCCTCTATCTCCCGCTCTTTCTCTCTCTCTGTCTCTTCTCTCTGCTCTCTCTCTCTCTCCTCCTTCTCTCCTTTCTCTCTCTCTCTCTCCTCCTTTCTCCTCTCTCTCTTCTCTCTCTTCTCTCTCTCGTCTCTCTCTCGTCTCGCTCCTCTCATTCCTCTCTCTCTTCCTTTCTCTTCGCTCTCTCTCTCTCTCTCCTCTCTCTCTCCTCTCTCTCTCTCCTCTGCTTCTCTTTTCTCTCTCTCTCTCTCTCTCTATCTCTCTCTCAATATCATATATATATCAATCTCTCTCTTTATCTCAAAAAATCTTAACAATCATAATAATCTTAAATCAAGAAACGAAACCCCTCCGCCTCTAGCGTAGCTACATTCTGCCCCCTCAAGCACCGCACGACGCCCCTCCGGCTTTCGCGCCAAGTCGCTGCTCGCCTCATCTCCTATCCGCTGAAAACATTAAGATCTGCCCCCTACTCTCACCCCCCCTCCCCCGCCGCCCCGGCGCCGGACACACGAACCAACACCAATCACGCCGCCACCTCGTCGGAAACCATTCCACACGCCTCTGATAACTTTGACAGACCTCTACACTGAATGAGGTTCTTCACGCCGGCCGGCAGCGGCGCAGCGGGCATGGAGCACAGCCGCAACAGCGGCGCAGCAAGCAGCGCACGCAGCCCGCAGAACAGCGCACGGCGCCGCCCGGCGCCGCGGCAAGCAGCAACGCGGGCCGGCCCCTCGGCAGCAGCAGCAGCGGCCCCAGGCAGCGGCAGCCGCCCGGCGCCGCGGCAGCAGCAGCCGTCGGCAGGACAGCGGCGGCGCGCGCGTCCAATCGCGTAGAAAGTGACATTTCGCGAACCAACGCACATTAGCAATTGAATGAGCTGCTCATTGTCCAGCGTGTATCTATAAACACGATATTGACAGTCAGGTGCGTGCACTCCCCAACCTCGTCGTGCCGTCAGTGCGTGCGGTCGTGCGTGGTGCGTGTGTGTTAGCGTGCGTGCCGTGCGGTGTGTGTGGTTCGGTGGTCTTCGGCATGTGTGTGTTGCGTGTGTGCGTGGCGTAGGCGTGCGTGCGTGGTGGCCGGGCCGTTGGGTCGGGCGTGCGTGCGTGCGTCGCTTGTGTGGGTGACTGCTGTGTGTGCACCACCAACGCTGTGTGCTGCTGTGTGGTGGTGTGTCGACTGTGTGTGTGTGTGATGGTGTGTGTGGTGATTGTGTGTGTGCTCCTGTGCTGTGTGTGTGGTGTGTGTGTGCACTGTGTGCTGTGGTGTGTGCGCTGGTGGGTTGTGTTGTGTGGCTTGTGTGAGTTCGCGCGCCGCAGTGTGGGCTTGTGTGTGTGGGGGGGGGCTGTGCTGCTGTCGGCGGTCGTGTGTGTGTCGTGTGCGATGCGTGCGTGCGTCGCGTGTGTGTTGGGTGGGTGTGGAGAGTGGGTGAGAGATGGGAGCAAGGCGGTGACATTCTGTTGCTGACCTCACTAACTAAGTTTAGGAATTCGGCTTCTCACCGTAGCTTGAATACATGAGCAGTTCATCTCCGCCTGCCAGACATGAAACCTGGCCAGTGGACGGGACGGAGGAGGAGAAGGAGGAGCGGCGAGGAAGAGGAGGAGCGAGGCAGGAGGGGAGAGAGGAGGAGCGGGTTGGGTAGGCCGCAAGAGGAATGCGTGTTTGGAGGCAAAGCCTACAGGCGCGAGAGGAGCGAGCAAAGGTAGGAGGTAGAGCGTTACGCGGCGGAGGGCGGTGAATGGAATGTGCGGAAGGAGGGCGGACATGGAGGACGAAGGTGAAAGGCAGGAGACGAGTGGAGGCACGATTGAGAGAGATAGGCGAGAGAGGAGAGAGACGAATACAATCGTCCGTCATCGATTCCGTGGGCTTGCCTACCGGTGGCTCCCTACTCTCTCTCTCCTCTCACCACACCACTACGCACCACGCACACGCAACACGCACACGGCACACGCAACACGCTGACCCACACACTCCTGCTCGCTAGGCTCTCTCTCTCCTCTCTCATCGTCGGCTACTCTTCTCTCTCTCTCTCTCTCTCTCTCTCTCTCTCTCTCTCTCTTTCTCTCTGCCTCCTCTCTCTCCCTCTCTCTCTGCCTCTCTCTCTCTCTCTCTCTTCGTTCTCTTTCTCTCGTCTCCTGCTCGTCTCTCTCTCTCATCTCTTATCGTCTCTCTCTCTCTCTCTCGTATCTTCTCTCTCCATCTCTCTCTCTCTCTCTCTCTCTCTCTCTCTCTCTCTCTTACTCTCGCTCTCTCTCTCTCTCTCTCTCACTCATCTCTATCTTTCTCTCTCTCTCTCTCTCTCTCTCTCTCTCTCTCTCTCCTCTCTCTCGTCTCTCCTCTCTCTCTCTGACATCTCGCGTGCTCTGTCTCATGTCCTCTCGTCTCTGTCTCACTGTTCTGCTCTTCTCCTCTCTCTCTCCTGGTCTCTCTGTCTCTCTGTCTCGTCTCGCTGTCCTGCTCTCCTGTTCTCTCTCTCTCCTCTCTCCTCTCCTCTCCTCTCTTCTCTCTCTCTCTCTCTCATCTCTCTCTCCTTCTTCTTCCTCTCTCTCTTCCTCCTCTCTCTCTCTCTAACTCTCTCATCTCTCTCGTCTGGCTCTGTGTCTTTTCTGCGTCTGCTCCTGTCTCTCCTGCTCTCTCCATCTTCTCATCTCTCTCTCTCTCCTCTCTCTCTTCTCTCTCCTCTCTCTCTCTCTCTCTCTCTCTTTCCTGCCCCTCTCGGCCTCTCTCTCTCCTCTCTCTCTCTCTCTCTCTCTCTCTCTCTCTCTCTCTCTGCCTCTCTGCTCTCTGTCCTCTTGTCTCTCTGTCTCGTCTGTCTCTCCTGTCTCTCTGATCTCTCTCTCTCTCTCTCTCTCTCTCTACTCTCTCTCTCTCTTTCTCTCTCTCCTCTCTCCCACCCCCTCTCTCTACATCGTGCGCCGCGCGCGCGCTCTGCGCCGCGGTTACATGGGGAGTATCGCTAATAATTCTCCACGGAGTTTGTTGGAGATCGCGTGCGCGCGGATAGTTTATACTGCAGCCTTCCCCCCCTCTCCCCCTACGTCCCCCCCTCTCTCTACTCGGATCATAACAGGGTCCCTGTGCGTTGCTTCGTTACAGTGGATGCGCGTCCCTTTTTCCGAAGCCTCGCCTTTCTGTATGATTTATATTGTTATTATTGGCATTATTTATTGATTATT